CTCCACTGCCAAACCCCATCCCATCTCCAACTTCCGCGATTACTTCCCAAGTATCTCCGAAATTCATTCCTCCCAAGACTCCGCTCCGCTCTCCCGATAAATATTGCGCGCGGGGCGTCCTCGGCGAGCGGATTTCCCCTGGAAACCGAGGAAAGCCTCGTGCACAGATGTCGCGGAAATGAAAACACCGTCCAAAGGCGGACCGACCCGCCGGAGCGAGAAATAACTGCAAATAACGTTCGAGGATTACTTAGTTACCGCAATACACTCGCGATACAGTAACCGGGTTTCCGGTTCCCCCCGCGCCGCCCCCGGAAAAGAGAGAGGCCGCCCCCGGGTCTCTTCACAAAGCGCGGATCTGCCCCACTCGACACGTTCACCAACAAGGGGGAATTGAAAAGCTGTCTGGCAATTCGGACGGCTTATCCCGGCCTACCACCCTTCTTTTCGCTGTCTTTCTCCGCTCGCCGCGCGGACAACCCCCGCGCCGCCCTTTCGAACCCCTCATTTACCTCTTACGGATAATTATCGCTAATTGTACTTCTTTCCGGCGGACAAATTGCGATGAGAGCGTGGATGTGTTCTTTGCTTGTTCGGGAACTGACGCTGGTGGTAGTTATGGTTTTGATACGGGAAGTTTCGGGAATTGAGAACTTTCATGGGTTTTAGGACCTTTTGGTTTGTTTTTTTCAGGAAAGTGTGGAGTCTAAGGGTTGGTTTTGCGATGGTAGAATGTTTGTTGTATGAAGATTGACAGAAACTAGAAAATTCATGGGTTTTAGGAGGTTTTGGTTTGTTTTTTTCAGGAAAATGTGTTGTTTGAGGGTTGGTTTTACGATGATAGAATGTTTGTTGTATGAACATTGACAGAAATTAGAAAATTCATGGGTTTTGATGTCTTACCCCGACCTACCACCCTTTTTTCCGCTCTCTTACGGATATTTATCGCTAATTGTACTCTCTGAGAAATTATTGAAGAAATTCATTTAACACTGCACAAATTGAATTGCAAATGAAAGTCTGAACAGATACTTGGAGTTTCTATAGCGAAATAAAAGTCAACTCAAAGCAACTCAGTTCCCCAGAATAACTCAACACCATAAACACCTTCAAAATCCCATCTCACCATCCTCGCAGCCATCCCCCGATGATTCCACATCATCGGTCCTCGATTAGCTGCTTCACGCAAAATCTAAGCAAACAAAGGGTCGATCGTCGCAGAAAGCGATCGCGAGGCGAGTAACGTAGAGCTGGAGGCAAGAAACAACGGCCAGGGGCGGCGAGGGGTGAGAGTTCATGCCGCGTAACACTACTCGACGTCCCTAGAATTTGCTCTGCGGTCTGACTGCTCGTGCGGCTGCCCCCGTCAATTGCGATAATTATTGTGCCAGTAAATACTCGGTAACCGTACGAACTAACAGGCTCGCGCGATCGACCGGATGTAATATACTCATAGTGTGGGTACACTTATGCCGGCGATATAATTAAATGAACGGCCACCGCGTTGTTTTGACGTGCGCCGCGCGTCACGCGTCCCCGCCGCTCCGTCCTGTATCGAACGGCTCGGTTTGCGAAGAAAATTGGATTAATGGGAAATATATCAACTGTTCGCGCTACAGATGGTTTTGTAATTTAGCAACTGCTAATTTTTATGGCATCTACGGCGAAAATGAGAAATATAACATTTCTAAGATCTTTGGTTTTCCGAAATTTTCCGTTTTACGAAATTTGGATGTGTGGAGAATTGAATAATTTTTAGGGTAGTTTCTTTGATTCGTTGAAATATTTGATATTATTGGTGCAATATTGGAGACAGAGTTCAAAGGGTTAATGGGAAATATATTTTAACCCTTCGTGCTACAGATGCTTTTGTAATTTAGCAACTGCTAATTTTTATGGCATCTACGGTGAAAATGAGAAATGTGACATTCGAGCTTTTATTTTCCTGAGTGCGAAATTTGGATGTGTGGGAAATCGAGGAATAGTTTTACGAATGTCACGTGATTTTTCGAGATTAAGGATCGTTTTAATCGGAAAAATTTCAGCATTCTGTCAGTAATAGATCGAAAAGGTAAGGTTAAACATGTAACCAAGAAAATTTCAATTATAATAATTTGCAGCAACGAAACGAAATTCTAAAGCTATCGTATAAAAGTCAAAATCTCTGAAGTAAACTTTGGATGTATGGGAAATCGAATAATTTTAGGGTAGTTTCTTTGATTCGTTAAAATATTCGATATTAGAACTGGTGCAGTATTGAAGCCTACAAAGTTCAAAGGGTTAAGATGCCCAAAATTGACTGTATAATACATTCTTAATAAATTCTTCATTTTACGGAAAGTTCCGGCACGGAACGCTCAGGAATCTCATTTTTCTATAAAGACACTTAGCTACTGAACTTCGTTAATTACCACAGTATTGAAAAAATATAAAATTCGAATTGATTATCCGTTTAAAATATATTACACAGCAATGTATTTGAGTTTTTCTATTCTCTCAGTGAAAATTGCCAGCGCGATTCAGTTTTCTGAAAATTAACCGGCATTCAGAGTGGTAAGAAAGTGGACTTACAGCAAATTCACAAGAAAGGGTTGAAACATTTCACAAATAACGCGCACGAGAATAATCGTTCCATAACGGCGGCTCGCCGGGGAACAGTTTAATTCGATTAACCCGAAGTAAAACTGTTTGCCCGGTATCGGGTGGCCCAAAGTTATTTCTATGAATGTTTGCGAAGGGATGGAACCCGCGCAAATACACTCCGTTATTATACGCCCGGGATATATAGCTTTATTTACTACTCAATGATTAAGGATGACCAACGTCGCGTTTAATGTATTACAAAGTTCCCATCGAACGCTCTTCAGAAAAATTATATTTAGAAAATATCTATTATATAATATCGTATTTTCTAAATACAATTTTTGCGATATTATAAAAGTTATAATATAATAAATTTCATAATTATATCATAATTATATAATATCATAAAATATACAGTATATAATACCATAACATTTATAATATTACAAAAATAATATTTAGAAAATATCTATCATACAATACCATCAAAATTATACTTAGAAAATATCCATTACACAATATCACAAAAATAGTATTCAGAAAATATATTATATAATGTATATTTTATGATATTGTATAATACATATTTTCTAAACATAATGTTTGTGACATTACAAATGTCATAACACCATAAATTTCACAATCACATCATAATTACATAATATCATAATACCATAAAATTCATAACACCACAAAAATAATGTTTACAAAATACCTATCACATTATAAATGTCACAATATCATAAATTCCACAATCACACCATAATTACATAATACCACAACATTCACATCACAAAAACAATATTTACAAAATACCTATCACACAATACCACAAAACCTACATCACAAGAACGAAGAACAAGTATCTAGCACAAGGGGTTGAGCCCGCGTCGCGTGACCACGTGCGCAAGTGCCTGTTCTATAGTTAGAGCAAAGTGAATAAACCATGAATCGCGTCCGGTGACAAGCGACGCATTTTTAGGTAACGCTCCACCGAGTGTTTGATAACTCCGTCGCGAACGGGGGTGACATTGTGACCAACAATGGTCACGTGTCCGTCGCGAGCCAGACGTTAGGCTGTCGCTAATGGAGCGACGATTAATTAATGAATCGATCGCGTGCGCTCGGCCTGAGAAACTCGAAACTTGTGTATACACTCGATAGGCGTCATTATTTGGGAAATTCATTCGGAATCATCGAGTGTTTCATCACTGATTCGAATCATTCTACTCTGAATGTTATCTTCGATGTACTAAGTCATAAACAATTAGTTCAATTAGGTTCAATTATGAGGCATTAGAGTCTCGTTTTATTTATCGATAGTGTTTTCCTGTATGTTTAGTTTCGTTTGGATAATAGATAATTAATGAAGTTTCTACAGTGTAGAGCTGGAACCTAACCTACCCTATTGTCTATTAATAGATCACTTATTCTAAATTGTGATGGACAATTTATTTGTTGATAAATGTGTCTAATGATTGAGAGTTCGCGATGGGAACTTTGTTTCTTCTGTTCCTTGTGTGTTTAATGAGTGGAACTTTTGAGTAACTTTTCGGTGCAAGATTGGATCGGTTCAGATTTAATGGAGAAGTGATAGAACTGGGGATGAATATTCTTTTTTATAGATTTATTATTCAGTAAGGGAAACTGTTAAAGAATTTGGGAACCTTCGTTTTATAAGTGAAAAACTGAGAAGCGAGGAATATACGGTTCGTCCGGGATTTTTGGTGAATTAAATGGAAAACGGTGGATTTAGTTAAACAATAGTTAACGTGTTGATTGTAAATATTATGACAATGATAGTGATAGAACCGATAAACCGATTTGTACTGCCATATGCGCCGATATGGCGTCGGACCCAGTAAGTGAGACCCGCCATATTGTCGGCATTGCTCCGTTAACCTCTCAGCTACGGCAAAATGGAGGATAAAACAAGAAGAAAACAAATTTCCCATCCGAAAACATAGATGACAAGCGTTAACAAACTCACAGAACTATCCTACCTCAATAGTTAGGTCAATAATTATAAATATTACAACAACAACAGCGATCAAACCAATGAACCGATTTCTCCCGCCATTCACGCCAATATGGCGTCGGACCTAGTAAGATTCGCCATCTTGGCGGCATTGAAACGAAACAGCGTCAACTTCTACACGACTACCAAAACTCCTTTCACAGAACTATCCCAGCTTAATATCCAACTTACATTAATTATAAATATTCCAACAACAGCGATAAAACCAACAAACCTATTTATCCCACCAAATGCGCCAATATAGCTTTTAAACTAACGCACCATCAACTTCTACACGTCTCACGCTACCAAAACTCGAAATCGAACTTTCGCAGCTTGGAATCACGAAATAAATGTTTCCAACGAAACAATGTTATAAACAATTACGTTAAAAACTCACCGTTTCCCGAGGCGGACTCCAGCACTGAGGTGAGTTGTGTCCGCTGTGACTTCCGGCGGACGATTTTGGCACCGAATGCAGACTCTGCGTCGTCAGCGGTGTCACCGGGTCGTCTTCCGTCGTCTCGATGTCCACTTCGTCGTCGGAATTCTCCTCGTTGGTCGTCGCCGACGTGTCCGCCGGCTGTTTCTGGTTTCCGAGCTCGACGATCAGCGGCCCGCGGATCACGGGCCGGAAGGCGGACTGATGTAGCGTCGGGTTTACTGCTGGGAGCAGTGGTTCTGGGCTGGAGCCGGTTATTGGCGGCGGAAGTGGCCCTGAGGATACAGTTTGTATGGTGTTAGTGGGGTTATTGTTACGAGTTGGATTTATGATGGTTTTTGTTTGGAGGACTTAATAGTTTTAGTGTTAAATTAAACTTTGACGACGTCGACATTTTGGCGAGATGAAATGTTCATATTGTAAGGTGCTAGTTTGATTGTTGTTAGTTTGGATTTATGGTAATTTTTGTTTGGAGGACCTAATGGGACTAAAGTGTTCATGGTTGTAGTGTTAGGAAATTAATAATAAAATATTAAAGAAGATTATTTGGTAATATTTAGTCTCAAATACAAGCAATAATTTATTAACTGACGTTTACTTCTTTTATAAAGAAATGTTGAGAAGATTGTTCAAGTGATAGGTTCATAGTTCTAGTCTTAGGAAATTAATAATGAAATATTAATTAATTAATTGCAAACTGAATACATTGATGATTACTTGTTTTATAAGAAAATGTTGAGAAGTTTGATCAAGTGGCAGTTTCATAGTTCTATTGGTAAGAAATGTTTAAAAAAACGAAAAAACGTTTAAAAAATCTTTAGAAAAGATATATCATATAATATAATAAAAATTATGTTTAGAAAATATTATATAATATCATAGAAATTGTTTAAAAAATATGTATTATATAATAGAAAAATTATATTTAGAAAATATATATTAAATAATATAAAAATTATATTCAGAAAATACACATTAGAAAATACCACAAAATACACATTACCCAACATCACAAAATCTATCTCACAGAAATCACATTTAAAAGACACCCTTAACATTAAAAAAAGAAATAGCCTTTTTAAGCAGCAACGTCGCACATTAATTAAACAGGATCCCGTATTTACGTATGCTTGTAAAAATGAAAAACAACATTCCCGAGCGTAAAGCGCCGCATAAAGCGATCCGCGTAAAAATCATTTTGTCGGAAGGTCACACAGCCGCGCGCGTAGTGTCAATAACTCTGCCCGCATTAAATGACAATATTCGCAGCAAGTCACGGTTAAGCTAATCCCCTAAATAACCCGTCCATTTACCGTGGAAACGCGTAACCGACCAGCAGCTGCGCGCGGCGAGTAACTTTTGCGCCGGCCGGCGAATTAATGGCCACTCGCGCAAAGAGGTCTCTCCTATTATTAGTTAAAATAATTCCGATTGATTAATACTAGCCCCAGAAGTAATTCAAAATATTAATATCAATTCGACCGGGGGCGGATATACGTCGGTGGATATTAATAATTATTATCAAAGACTATGAATGTTGCTGGTCGTGATTAATAATTTCCATTGTTACCACCGCTCGTTTCCCGTGTGATCATGTTAATGAGCTTCGCTACTCCGGTGTAATCTATGTCGGCGGACGTTCACGTTGGTTATTAAAATTCAACGTCTCGCTGATTATTATATCCGGTAATTGAATGGGACCGGTAAATGTTGCTGGCCGAGTGTTTTCCGAGGTGTGCTCAAAACTGAAGATATTTGCTGATTTCGACTGTGATTGGTACGAGTGCTTCGATGATTTCAGTGTTAGAGGTTTGAATGTGGTGTTGGTGGATTGTCGGGGTCGCGCTGATTAAAATGAGTACAAACACGATGGGAATCGGAGGAGTTTTGTGGTTTCATGGAAACGAGCCTTTAGCTTCGTTAATTACAGGAAATCGGCGAAAGTGGTCCGATTCCTGTTGTGTTTGGGCTCATTTTAATCAGCACAATCTCAGCAATCCGTAGGTACTACATTGGAGAAGATAAGGTTAAAGTTACTGCAATTGTAAATGTGTAATACAAACTAAAAATAATCTAATACCGAACTATATAACTGAAATGCATTATTATTATTGCAGTATTACTAGTAATACAGAAAAGTTTCCAAATAATCATCGTTTAATTGAATAAATTATAGCAATTCAAGGTATCCAACGTGTTAATCACAAATCTCTATTCCTCTAATTCTTCCCATACCGCTAGTTCATTACTCATTCAATCTTGTATGCTCCAAAGACTTACCTAAACGAAACCAATTGCCACACATCATAAAACCAACGTCAAACCAAAGAAAAATACAATAAATATTTCTCTATAACTTAAAAACTAAAAGAGAGAGTTTAACTAGAGTAGACCAAGTGTCTACGAAGAACAGTTCCACCACATTATCAAACTCCTCCTACAAACTCTCACAAAGT